TTTTGCTGAAGGATCATCTGTGAAAATGTCTTGAACTTGTCTTTCAGCTCTGGGATGAAAACCAGAGTCAGATCAGAGAATTAGCATGTGCTTACAAGGTCATTGTGCCCAGTGTCATGAAAGATTGCATGCCATTCACAATGCCCATTAAATGGTCATCCAGCCTCTACTTAGCTGCAGTGGTCAGTGGAGAGACTGCGTTAGAACCCCTACCACTGTCTAGTCTAGTTTCCCAAGGCCTACAATAGCATGAGATGAAAAAACAACGAGTTAAACATAAATCACTGAGGGTTTTCCATGAAAGTAATTTTTCAACAGAGAAGTTCCTGGAGCTATACCAGGGAAGTGTGTTTCCAGAATGTAAATCCAAAGGCAGAGTGGTTGGAAACCCCCAGAGAGACAGCAACACAGCGCTTCAAATCAGAAGGATAAACCAGAATGAAAGCAGAAGAAATTAAATATACATCATATCACAGTTGACCAGAAACTAGTTGAGGTACGGTCTGATGTTTGATGGGTTCAGGGACTAATTTCACAAAAATCAGGTACCTGCCAAAGTGTTCTTCATGCATTTCTTGTGGCTTCGTGCATTTCAATGGGGAGAGGAATGTGTTCTCAAAGGAGCAGAACTCACATTGTCTTACCAGTCCACAGACCCTTTCAGCCTTGAAGGACATCTTCTAAGTTGTTTGTCAGAAATGCAAAACTTGGGGGAGATGAGCTGTGGTCTCATGACTCTTCCAATTTTACTTTTAACTGAAGTAGACGTGAATATAACAACACTCATAGTAATAAAATATGGGCATGGGCAGAACCACGGAACTTGGAATCACCTTCTAAATTACCCAGGTAAACTACTGGTAGACATAAGGAGAGCTGGTCTGGGTCATGGATGAGATAATGGCGCAGTGAGAAATAAGACCCATGTCTCCTGGTCCTAAAGCTGATGCTTTTTTACTCTACATTTTCATAACCATAATATGCTGGCTAAATATTGTTACATCATGGAATCCCTTGATTTTTTTCCAATAAAACATATGGCACTCATGAGGTAGGATGCTGGATCTTTCTGTCAGAAGAGGAAGCTGTAAATACATCTATGACATACATACACATTTGTATTTTGGTCACAGATTTCATTTTCTTTAACCGACTTTATTTTTGAAAAAAGCCAAAATTAATTCACAAGAAAGGCATGCAACTTAAGCTGTTCAGCTGAGAAATACTTTCTTTGGCAACTGTTGAGTAATGATTCCTATTTTTTCGTATCTCTTATAAATGCTCTCCTAAAGCAGTTTCCAGAGAGGATTCCAGATTCAAGGAACTAAATGCAAAGTCAACTTTTTAATAGTGAAATGATTTTACTGCATGTTTCTGGAAAATAATTACATTTGATTTTACTAATAATTATTACTCAAAGTGTCACTTTCTATGGCATATAACCAAAAACTATTTTTATAAAGCAAACCATAATCAAATACCAGTCCCAGACCCCTGTATCATGAAAAGATCACAGGATGTGGAGTACGAATATTTGCACTCAAGGCTGGCTTACATGTTCTATGATCTAGTTATTTAACCTTTCTGATTTTCTACTTTTTTTCTGTAAAATAAAAACACGAGAATTCAACTTTGTAAGTTGTGACCATGGGAAGACACTTTAAAATCTTCACATCAGGTTAAATACAATTAATTTTTATAATCCCTGACAACTTTTACCCAACATAACAAGAAACCCAGGATAATTTTAAACATTAGATATAGCAAGTGTGTGCCAAGAGGGTATTGGCAAATTGCATTCCACACTGTCCTAGGCCAGTAGGCAATTCAGCTGAGTACCAACTGCTTATATACACAAGCCATTCCACAGCTCTGTAATTAGAAAGGAACATTTTTAAGTCTGTTACAAAACAAGAGAAGTTCTGATGAAATGCTGCCTTTTTTCTGATACTCTTTGAAATGGTTGAAAGAGCATCAAATTTGGATTTAGAAAAAGGCAGAGCTGCATACTAGCTCTGTCTGACATTGGGCTGGTTATTTAATGTTTTTGAACTTCATTTTCCTTCATCTGTAAAATAGGAATAATCATAATAATACCTGCTTGCAGAGGTGTTGTGCCACATGAGAGATATGAGGTCTTAAAAGTAATAAAATATAAAAATGTAAAAGATCATGAAAGAAATAACATCTTGGTAGTGGGTCATTTATTTTCTGAAATGGCATTGCTGTTTAATAACATTCTAATGGCATTTTTTACTTCTGTATTCCTTACTGTGTAGATGACAGGGTTTAACATGGGAGTAATAAGAGCAAAGAATAGTGTTAGGACTTTATCCATGGGAAAAGTAGCTACTGGTCTCAGATACATAAAAATACAGGGCACGAAGAACAAAACAACAACTGTGATGTGGGAGCCACAGGTAGAGAGGGCCTTTTTCCTCCCTGCAGAGCTGTGAGTCTTCAGGGAGCACAGGATGACCACATAGGATACCAATAACATCACAAAGGTGATCACAGAAATTACTCCACCATTGGCAACAACCAAGAGGCCGACAAGGAAAGTGTCAGTACAGGCAAGTTGTAACAGGGGGAAAATGTCACACATGAAGTGATCCATGACATTGGGACCACAGAATGGGAGCCAGAAAGTAACTAGAATCTGTCCAATGGAGTGGAGAAAACCCACTGCCCAACACACCCCCACAAAGAGGCGACATGTGTGGTGGTTCATGATGGTCACGTAGTGCAGGGGTCTACAGATGGCCACATAGCGGTCATAGGCCATGACCACAAGGAGGACAATCTCTGAAGCTCCTAAGAAATGTTCTACAAAGAGCTGTGTCATGCAGCCACTGAAAGAAACAGATTTTGAATCAGAAAGCAGATCAGCTAACATTTTAGGGACTATGGAGGAGGAATAGCATGCATCTATCAAAGACAAGAATGCCAGGAAGAAATACATTGGGGAGTCCAAAGTCTGGCTGCAGATTATAGTAACCACAATGAGCAGGTTGCCTGTGACAGTGACAATGTAGATGATAAGTAACACCAAAAATAGAATTCTCTGCATCTGAGGATTCTGGGTAAGTCCCATTAGAATGAATTCGGTCACATTCATCCTGTCTTCTTTTATTTCAAAGCTGATGATGAATTCAGGAGTGGAGAATTAACCTGTAAAGACAGTATTTTCAAAGACAAGGTGATGAGAACTCTATATGTGGGGTTTTTAGGTAAGTCCAAAGCATTTTAATAGCATAAGCTATTTTTTCATGGTGTGCCAAAGAAAAGAAACTTGCTTTTTCTATTTTATAAAAAGAGCAAATTTTTGAAGTGAATTCAACCTCTTACAAGGATGCAAAAATCCTTGTTCCACACCTGAAAAACTGGTCACTGGGTCTTTGCTAGAGGACATCCAGGCACAGGAAGGTCACCATATAATAAGCCTGATTGCTTCTCAGCCAGTAAGAAATGTTAAAAACTCATTAAATATTTTTAAAAAGCTGTACAACTGTTGGTTTGGTTCCACACATAGTTGACGCAAGATTAAGTCTAATTCACCTTCTTTTGCATTTAAAAACCCTTTAAATAAGTGGCAGAGGAGTAGACCTGCCTGCTTCTCCACCCCTTTGTTTGTTCACTTGGTTCAGTGTCGGACTTATTGTGGTGTCCAATAAATATGAAATGAATAAATAAGTTGGAAAACTCTTTACGTATTTCTTCTGGGTTTTCTTTTTTTCCAGTTAACTCCAAAAAATGAAAGTGTTTACTCCCTTACTAAGGAAAAAATAATGCAGTACATGGTGGGAATGCAAACTAGATGTAGTCTTTCCACCCCTTCAGATCCACTCTCAATGTGCCCACCCTGGGCAGCTGCTTTCCCTGGTCTCTTTCAACCAGATCTCTTACCTTCTGACCAATAGGTGGTACCAGCTGAATGTAAGAAAGCAGGTGAGAAGAAAAGGATGTCAGGGTATGCATTGTTCGATTGACAGTGGTCTGTCAACCACTGGGTGACTCACTGAAGCAGAACTCTTTGGGATGGACCCTCTGGGTTCCTGTGATCACTCCCCCTGCCCCCCGCCCTTGCTCTCTCAAGTCTAATTGTGGTAATGGCTTTTTCATCCCTTATTGGTTTCCCTTAACCCTACCTATACCTTGATAAATAAACATAATTAAACTATTTTTAATCTCTCATTTTAAGTATGCTATCTCAGGACTCCAATGGATGCAGAAAATTTGTGTTCTTTCCTTTGTAAAAAAAATAAAATAAAAATAAATGAGAAAGTAATTTTCCCTTTATATGAATTTATTTTATTTATAAGATCTGTACTTCTTTTCATGTATAGCTGCTAAATTAAATTAACTTTTGTCAGAACAAACTGAGGGTAGATGGGGGGTGGGAGGAGGGGAGGGTAGGTGATGGGTATTGAGGAGGGCACATGTTGGGATGAGCATTGGGTGTTGTATGGAAACCAATTTAACAATAAATTTCATTTTTATAAATAAATAAATAAATAAATAAATAAATAAATAAATAAATGTTTGGTAGAATTCCCCTGGAAAGACAATCTATATATATATATATATATTGTATAAGGCAGAAATGTAGCATAAAGATTATTGGGCATCTTCAGTGAAAGTTTGTGTTATCTGCAGCACTCTCTTTGGGATTATATAGGATTTATGCCTTTTACTGCCTTGAGCTATTTTATAACTCATAACATTTATAAAACTGATAATAATGCTAATAACTCTGGCCCATAGAAATGCAAATGTTGTTTGGTGAAAGGTTGATTGACTTCCCTGGCCATTATAGATAAAGTCAGTTCTGCATTTATTTGTAGATGAATTACACATCCCTGATTGGATAATGTAAGGGTAATATTTTGGATTCTTCTTTCGGGTGATTATAATCTTACCAGTTCTCTCATAAATTAATGATTAAATAAAATCTTTTTCATGTGTTCATTTTGTGTAAGAGTCATGGTTTCACTTTCTAAAAAATTCTCTTGCTTTTTGATCTGAGAATAGGGACCATTATATTTAGGAGCGATAAGCTAAAAGACTCATAAAAATCCAGATATTCTTAACCTCTGTGTTATTTCACCATGGGTTTTTCTGTTTTATTTTGTTTAAGGATCTCCTTCTATTTAATCAATTTGTAAAAGTCTTCTTTAAAACTTGCTTTGAAGAGGGGCACCTGGGTGGCTCAGTCAGTCAGTTAAGCGTCTGACTTCAGCTCAGGTCATGATCTCACAGTTCGTGAGTTTGGGCCCCGTGTAGGGCTCTGTGCTGACAGCTCAGAGCCTAGAGCCTGCTTCAGATTCTGTGTCTCCCTCTCTCTCTGCCCCTCCCATCTGGTCTCTCTCTCTCTCAAAAATAAATAAGCACTAATTTTTTTTAAAAAGCTTTTACTTTTGAGAGTAGCTGGGTGGGCGCCCAGTCGGTTAAGCGTCCGACTTCATGGAGTCCGCGATCTGCAGGTCCGTGAGTTGAGCCCAGCGTCAGGCTCTGGGCGGTAGGCGGGAACCTGGAGCATGTTCGATTCTGTGTCTCCCTCTCTCTCTGCCCCTCCCCCCATTTCCATGTACTCTCTCTCTGGCCAAAAATAAAAGCTGAAAATAAGCTTGTTAAACAAAAAAAAAAAAAAAACTTGCTTTGAAGACAAATGGAATCAAAATATGTTATTAAATTGTTTTTTATTAACCTCCTAATTCTATTCCCACCCAGACTTGGCTAATGTAAATACCCTTATCAACCACAGCGAAACCAAGCTGCTGAACAAATTACATCAATCTGGCCCTGGTGTGTGTGTGTGTGTGTGTGTGTGTGTGTATAGGGGAAGGATTACACAATGAAATATAATTTTATGGTCTATTGAGTCATTCATGTATAAGTTCGTTTCAAAATACTAACACTCTCAGAAGTGGAGCTTTAACAGTAAAAATAAGAGATAAAATTTCCTCTTTCATGCAGCTTATATTCTAGTAAGTAGAGAGAGAAGATAGCAAATAAAAAAAAGAACTATACATTATGTCAAGTTACAATAATTGCTATGAGAAAAATAAAGCAGGGTAAATGATACATGGTCCCTGAATGGGTGAGAGAAGGCTTCTTTTGGAAGGGATTGCATAAGCCAAACTTGAACGAATGGGGAAGGACCTGCAATGATACCCAAGGAGAGAAGTTTCCATATAGAGAGACCAGCAAGTGAAAAGTCCCTGAGGAGGGAGCATGGTTGATACTGTTGATCAAAGGAGGCAGTGTAACAGGATAGGAATGAATAAAGACTGGCTGATGACAGATCTTGTAGGGCCTTGCAGATCATTGTAAGAGGATTATTCTGACTCAGAATGGGTCAGAGAAGAACAAGAGTAGAAGCAGACTCATTGGGAGGTTACTACAACCATCCAGCTGAAAAGCAATGATGGTTTGGACCAGTATGGTAATAGTAGAGGTGAATATATTATGAAGGTAGATACAATAGAATTTCTGGATGGCCTTAACATAGACATAAAGATAGAAAAGAGTAAAAATTACTCCAAAAGTTTTTGGACAACAACATCTAAAGACAGTGTTGTCATTTACTGAGACAATTTCATGTCTAGAAGTCACTACTAACACAGTCAATGATTTCCTGACTGTTTATCAAGTACCAGACACATTTAATCTTTAATTCAACAATGAAGTCAGACACTGCTATCATCCTCACTTAACAGATGAAATATTTAAGATATAGAAAGGGTAAGGAAGCTGTTCAATGTAAGTCAAAGGGTTGTGACGCTGAAATAAACAAGCAAAGGTAATTCCATAAAGTGCATTTAACCCCTGGAACTCTTCACTATTTACTGTAAAATGAACATACTTGGCTCAAAGGATATCTGTGAGAGCAGAACAGCTACTATCCCAGTAACTGGCATAAAAGAGATACAAAGGATGACGCTGGATTACGACCATTAATATTATAGTGTTCTTTCTATGAGGCCATATCTCTAACACCTAAAGCAATGAATTACTCAAAAAGAATAAGAGTGGTTGTCAGTCATTTATCTGCATGGTTTTTAACTGCCTAGCACGAGTCCTTTTCTCTTCTTTACCAAAGTGATTGCTTGTAAGCTATTTCACACATGCACTCCACAGTAGATTTATTAGTTAGTCTTGGCCTTCAGCGGATAAAGACAGTGTTTGTTACACATGATTACAGTTTTAAAATGAATGTCAAAAATATTTCAACAGAAATAAATAGATTTCTTGCAAGTGTTATTCACTGATACTCTCCCCTTCAAATTCATTTTTCCTACCTTTTTGCTCAGCATCCTCCCTGCCCCACAAAATAAAAAAGATCTCTACCTATCCACTACTCTCCATTCCTTTTTCATGTCTCCAGATTTCATTTCCCTAGAGTGATCTTTTAACCTGTAATGGTGTATACTCAAGCAAATGTTTCTCCCCTTAAAATCCCAGAAAGCACTGCTTCAGTGCCTTCTGAAAAAGGACTAGTGAGAATAATCTAGTAGAGGCATAGCTACCAAGAAGGCCAAGGAATGCGAATCAATGCTGCAGGTGAAAATATGAAAACTAGATTGCCTATACTGTAGGAGCCTAACCAGGCTCCTTTTTTTCAGCTCCCAGATTGAAAAATAAAGGCCTAGGGGCACCTGGGTGGCTCAGTTGGTTGAGCGTCAGACTTCGGCTCAAGTCATGATCTCACAGCTTCTTGGGTTCAAGCCCCACGTCCGGCTCTGTGCTGACAGCTCAGAGCCTGGAGCCTACTTCG